TCTTACTAGGAAATAAAAAGATTTAGGAGTCAGTAAGGGGTAGTAAAAGTTGGAACCAACGGATTGTCGGATGTTCCTAATTTGTACCAGGAAACAACATTTTTGGTTGTGTACATAGACAGTAACCTTTTTTGGCTCACACATAACTGACCTTAATACGAAACCACTCCCTACGAATTTCGCAATCATAAACCTACGAAATTGCGTAAATAGTCAAACCATTAAGCAATACATCATTGTTATGCTCATTCGATTAGAAGGTACGGAATAATGAATTGTGCGTTCAAGCAAATAAAACCTATATTATTGCCAATATGTTCAAGCTTTCCTATACCGGGAGCCGTGTGCAGGTCTACTTTCAAAAGTCACAAAATATGTACTAACAGTATATGACATCTACATACTTAGTAAAGAATAACATACCCACAACATACATTTGAAAAATGCAGACAAAAAATACCAAACGCACAAGGAGAGAAATTCTACATTCCACAACATCGACTAAGCCTATTTGTAAATAGACTTTACGTTCTGTTAATAAAACTGTTCCACACCCTCCCTTTGGAAAATCAAGATATAGTTGAACTCGCACAGTTTAAATCGAAAGTTAAGAAAGATATCTCATAGATTTCGTGGGATGTCCGAAGATGTCCATTGGACATCCATGTATTTACACACTAAATGGATGTTTGGTGTAAAAAATTGTATCTATGATTTACCCTTCGTGTGTGGCATTTCTCAATTTTATGCCCTTAAAGATGATTAGAAAGGGGACGCAAATTATTATAAGTAAAGGTAGCTGTGAGCTTTCTAAAACAAAGTCTTGTAAATATTTGTTCTTGTTTAGAAACTGCGCACAGAATAGTTCTCAAACGTGTACATATTCAATGAAACAGTGTAGTGTTTGGAAAAAAAGTTCCAAGTCAATGTAACCACACATTCTAACAGATATTTGTGATGACGTCAAACTATCGGTCGATGACAATTAGCAATTAATTATTTATTTACTCAGATCTATCCAAATTGCCCTAGTCATGACTGATGAGATGCGGACAATATCTTGTTATCGCTTAACACGCAAATAATTTGTGAGAAATTTAATTATCTCTGGCCTTCAACTTAATATTTATTTGTAAATAAATTGTACCTAGTATTTATAATAGCAATACAACATTATCTAACCGTACTTTGCTCGCGCGTGTTTTCTAGACACTCGCGCAGGCCGAGTAATTTATTAGACATTCCAACCTTGATGGACTCTCGAAACTTTTTGGACATTTTTTGCTAATACAAAAACTACTTCATTTAATACTGTAGGTACAGTGTAATCATCCCTGTCTTACTTGGCTAGCTTTTCGCACGTAAGACTACTAAGGTACTGGTTGTGAATGGCGGGGTAGTATGCAATACCGAAAGATAGTTCGATCATTTTTAACCAGAACAACTCCTACCTGCCCATAAGAATTGTGTCATCGACATCGTTCAGTGACTGTCGATCTTGGGAATAAATTTGTATGCAAATTTAAACTCTATTGTGTCTCTTGCACCAATTAAATTGTCGTTGCGTATTCCATGCAGGAATTAATGTACTTTCCTAAAAGTTTTTACGTTTAGCTTCGCCAAATAATTTAACACTGGTGATTTTCGTTTATCGTACTTAATGATTGCAATTGCAACATTTTAATCAAAACATATGACCCTTGCCACTAATACCTACAGACAAAATTTCCTGGAACTCCTATTTAATCTTAGAATCAGGCTCAGCAAAGATCATACTTGATCTTTGTGCTCAGGTAGTGGAGGACTCCTGCACATTCTAGTTTTTGAGCTGATGCGCTCCGTTTGGTAGAATCTATACAAGGACCGCCAAGAGTTTTGGGACGTCCCTTAAACTTCACACCTTTGACGTAATGCGGTTAGTGGGCAAAACGCTGATAAGTAGTATCAGTTCAGTTCGATAATTCGTGCGCCGATTGTACGAGAAACTAAGCGCCTTTGCAGCGCCATTTAGTTTCTGTGATTATTCCCCCACTGGCGGTTGAAGTTTAAATAGCTTTGTACAAGGCGACCAACCGGTATACTTACCAAAGTTTTAGACAAGCGCGCTATATTTTTGTGTGATATTATGGCGAGATTCAGTAGTTAGGTGCTAGTGAAAATGTTGGAAATAGAAGGACGGTTTTTACAATTCGTTGCTGTTATATCAGGTACGTGCTATCGTGAGAACTGCACTCCTAAGTTCCGTCGTATGGATAAATAGTGACCTTTGCTTTTGTGGAATTTGATTAATAAAAGAAAGCGACCTTAGACTTTTTCCTTATTGCACACGATTTGTTATTTTATATGAAACTTTTATTATAAATTATTTTGTATTTAAATTACTATGGCCAAAATCAAAAAGCATCAAGCCAGTCAACATGTAATCTACGTGTCACATGCTAAAAGCGTGCAATCTCGCTTTAAATTAAGTAAACAATTGTCATAGACAGTTGTTCTAATTAAATTATCAGTTTAGTGTACTACAAATTGATTACTATGATAGGGAGATGACTGCTTATCAGTAGACACGCACAAAACATACCTTTTGCCGAAATCGTCCTGAATTTTAATACCTACTTTATCTCAGAACAGTGGCTGATTTCCCTACCTCTTGTCACTTTAACAGACTCCTGTCAAAACTGACACACTAATATTAATACAAAGGTTCTATTTCGCGAAAAATGTAACGCAAAACTTTTCAAAAAAATGACTAGGTACTCGACCCGGAAATTCAAGTACTCGGCCCCATGGGGGCTTCGTACTTCAATATTTCCTCGCCCGTAATGTGCCATTTTCCTAACACTTATGTAAATAACTATTGTTGAAACCCCCTTCAAGGGCAAGGCAGCCTGTTTTATGAGCTGATTACTCTATTTACCTATTCATTATTTAAGTGAGATGTGTTTTCAAATTTTATCATATCAGTGTTAATATATCTTTTTATCTAGACTGTACTTATACATGTACACCCATACAGGGTGTCACATTTTCGACACTTTTAAATAGTATCTCGTCGGAATATGTCATATTTCCAGATAGCAAACAAAATATACATTCTGCGCCATTTTTCCTTTTTCTACTAGAAGACCCAAGCTTTGTTACACCCCTACAAGCCCCACGAGGGGTCAATTGACCCTATATGTATTTCAATTGAATTTTTTATTTCCGATCGTATTTTTAGGTTATATTGAAGTTCGTTAATTATGGTTACTAAGCAGTTATATGTTTGTCATTTTTTTAAATTTATTTGGTATATTTACCATATGTAGGTACAGTGTGTTCGAGATAAGAGGGTCACTTCAATATCCCCTTTAATTGGCGAGATACTTGAAAAGAACACAATGTACATCCTGGCAGGCAGCATACAGCATGCTAGATTTCTAAATAATGAAGCAGGAATTTCTCTATTTTTCATCATTAATCATATGTGTATTTGATGTTGTCGTACTGCAAATTGACTGCTCTTTTCAAAAATCTTAAAAAACATGGGCATTGTATTTGAAAAACAATTAAGTTGCAACGATTTCCGGTTTATAACCGGGGAAGTTATATCGGAATATGCGATCGGATAGATAGTGATGAGTACACTTGCAGCAAATAATTAATTTGCAACACTTATTTACTTTCGGGAATTTTTGTGTTTTTTTTTATTATTACGGCCTACTCCGGTAGGTACATAAATATGTAATTAATTAATGGGTAGGTCCGAGGAGTAAACCACTTCGCGAAATCGTGTCACAAATTTCAATAACACTCTGGAAATCACGTTAAAACTTGCGAAAATCGCGAAATCGCTTGCGAAATCATTACATTTCTGAGAACTTTATTGCGATTGCGCCTACAGGGGAAGGTGTTTCTTTGATTATAGTCGATGAGCAAAAGGTATTTGAAATCTGTTGCAGGTTCTAGCACTCGCCGATTCTTTCGCGAAATCCCTAGGACATTTTCCTAATCTTTTAAAAGCTGCGAAATCCCTAACTATTTCGCGAAATCCGCAACTATTTCGCGAAATCCCTTACAATTTCACGAAATCTCTTCGAAATCTCTTTGAAATGCGCGAAATCCCTTAGGTACAATTGCGCGAAATCCTTGTGAAATCGCATCGATTTCGCGCAATACTGTCACAATTCTTAATAGTGGTTAACCCCTCGGGTAGGTCCTTTTGTGAAAAATATTAAATAATCTAAAAGCTACGAGGTTTAGAAACGGGGAATCCCTTGTAAAAGTGAAAGCAAAAAGAGAACACAAAAGACGATTAAATATCGAAATAAATTAGGGGTAGTTCCATTTGAAAAAAAATTGTTTTGGCACTTTGAAAGTCGGACACTTGATTTCATTGTGAACACCTTGTATCACTAAATTAAACTTTCTCATTATTAAAGTGTTGCTCTTTACTCGGATTAATATTATTACCTCGATTATTACTCAAATTTATAGGACGGGAACATTGACAAAAATCCATGTGGAGGTTAAAAAAAGTAATCGAAACAACCAAAAATATACAGCGTGTTATATTTAAAAAGTTAAGTGTTGATACCGTAAAAATGAGACATGTACACTGTGTCCAAGATAAGGATATCTATCATGGGGATCTCCGAATCCATAGAAGACTTTTTTTGTGTGCCGTACATAGTTGTATTCGTAAAAAAATGCTACTCAATACAGCATATCCTTTTTTAAAGGGTCATATAAAAAATAAAGGTCATGATCATTTTTCTCCCAAACGAAACGTTATACTGAAAATCGGCAAATTTCGGTTTTTCTGGCATATCTTCGGAAGTAATCGAAATTTTCTAGCATGATAATAACTCTTTAATTAATAAATTAATAAAAATACCTGTGGGGGATTTCGGTGCAAGTTCGAGGATTTCAAGGATTTTTTGGTGATTTTTGAGTATCTCCGAGGGAATTTCCTGGAATTTCCGGGTATTTTAAGGGATGCGTTAACGCATACGCAATAAAAGTAGTATAGTAAGGCCGATCCTGGCTCACTTTACATTGAAAAGTGCCATATGATTGAAGTGTTAGCGTTTCAAGGTCAAAGTGGTGTTGAAGGTCAAAGTGGTATTGCGTAAGTGGGGGGGTGGGTGGATTTCAAGGTCGAGTGTTGAGAAGAAAGGGGTGTATTGTTTGTGTTCTTTGGAGGGGGGTGGTGGTGTCGGTTCAAGGCCGTTGGTAAGAGGGGGTGATGGCTGAGGTCATTGGATTTCAAGGTCGATTGGTGAAAACAAAGGGGTGTATTGTTTGTGTTCTTCGGAGGCTTCAAGGTCATGTGTGGGGATGTGTCTGTCTGAAAGAATGCGTGCCGATGCTGGCTCACTTGAAGGTCAAATCGATTTTGGGTCGAAGCTGAATGCGTGGCGATCCTGGCTCACTTTCAAGGTCGTATCGATGCATTGGTGTTCAAGGTCATGTGGGGGTGTGTCCGTCTGAAAGAATGCGTGCCGATGCTGGCTCACTTGAAGGTCATATCGATTTTGGGTCGAAGCTGAATGCGTGGTGATCCTGGCTCACTTTCAAGGTCGTATCGATCCTGGCCCACTTAGCATTGAAGAATATATGAATAAAGTGTTGGTGTTCAAGGTGAAATTGGTGTGGTGTTGCGTGGTCGTTTCAAGGTTTTTGGATTTCAAGGTCGATTGCTGAGAGTGTTAAGGGGGGGGTATTGTGTGTGATCAAATTGTTTTTCCTGAAGGCGATTGGATTTCAAGGTCGGACGCTGAGAACAAAGGGGGGTTTAATGTTTGTGTTCTTCTGGGGGATGGGGTGCCACTGGCGGTGCCAGTTCAGCGCTGAGAGTGTAAAAAATGGGTTGCGTAATTTTTCGGCTGCCGTCTCAAGATTGAGGGTAAAACGTAATTATTCTTCTTGCCGGCTTCGTATCTCAAAGGCCGAGAGCGCGCCGGGCGTCGAGAGAACAAAGGGTGTATTGTTTGTGGTCAAGGTCAAACGTGGTGCAATTCTTAGGCTATCGAGGGATGGTTTGCGACTTGGAGAGTGGGGGGTGTAATATAAGGTGCTTATTGGAATAGTCATTTGTCCATAATAATAATAATAATAATAATAATAATAATAATAGAGGAGATGTCAAGAGTAATTGTTCATCATCATCATCAGCAGCAGCAGCAGCGGCAGAAACGGAAAGCTGGTAAAGAAAATTAGAAAATTAAAGTGGGATGTGGAAATTTTGGGTTGTCGGCGCAGTATGGAAAAATTGATGTTGGGAGGCCTACTGGCGATTTGTGGTGAATATGTGGCGAACGGCTGTTGAATGCCTTCATCAAACCTTATTGGTATTACTATCTGATGCTGAGCATGAGGCGGTGTATGGACCTGAGACTTTTAGGGAACAGTGTCAAAACATTGCCCAAAGGTATGAGTTGGGGATTGAAATATGTAGACGCTTTTTAAATTATAAAATATCCGTTTATTGCCTTATGAACGGACTAAACGTGGCTCAGTTGGGTGAATACATAATATGGCGATGAAGAAAGTGACATTTGACGATAGTAACAATCGCGTGTATGTGCTGATCGCGTGGTCATGTGCATATAATGAAGCGCGAAAAGGGCCTTGGATAGATTTCGCTTTAGTAGGAAAATAGAGCAATTTTGTAAGATATTGTCTCTCGTCTTAGCAGAAAATCATCGATCATCGGTTTATCGCACTAGATTTCATGGTCAACATCAGACCGCAATATAATGGTATATATCGCACTGGATTTCAAGGCCACCATACAGCAATGTAATGGTTTATCGCACTCTAGATTTCAAGGTCATCAGCCAGCAATATAATGGTGGTAGAAAACGGTGCCTGGAATCAGTCGAATAGTGTTGACTAATCAGTTAAAATGGATCTTAATCGACTCAACAGTAGCACCTACTGCAAACCTTTCAAGAACGTCAAGGATATGAAGGTTGGTGAAAAGTATAAAGTGATTGGTATCGATCTAATCAATACCAAGTATGGCGATCGAATACTGATCGATACTGAGAACTTTAAGTGCATCCTTCCTTTGCGCTTTTATGAGTACTTCAAGAGCGACAACTGTCTGCAGATCTTCAAGGACTTCTTGTCCAGGGAAGAAGTCTTTATAACAAGCGCTGGAACGGCGGGGAAGACTACTAATTTAACATTTATGTAAAAAAGTTGTAAATGAGAGAGAGAGAGAGAGAAATAATAAATGTTGTTCACGAGAGAGAAATTGGGTCTCTTATTTAAATGCACATCCCACTCTCGAGATCATCTCAACGAAAAAAAGGCTCCAAAATGTGGTGACGAGGATGAGGGCGACGATGACAACATCTATCGCGATATTGAAGATGTGTTAAACTATAAGTTTAACGTAAATTCTCACAATACAGTTTGCAAGATGGAATTATTATACTATCGACCTACTTATTTTATGTATCACATATGTCAATAAACGTACTCTATTTGAGCATTTTTTTTTATTTGATGGAGGCAACTTCTTGCCACACTTCAACAATGTTGAGTCGGAAGCGGAAGTGTACGGATGGGAGTGGCTTGGTTAATAATCTCATAAACAAACTTCCAGTGGAACTACATATTCCTGGCTATCAGTATTGCGGACCTGGTACTAAATTAGATAAAAGGCTAAAGCGAGGCGATCCCGGCATAAATCCCCTAGACGCTCAGTGTAAAGAGCTCGACATTTTTTTTAAATAAACAGCTTTCAAAATAAACAGGCTGTTCCCCCTGTTTGTTTACCTGTTTCCCTTGATCGCATCATCATGGATACTAAAGAGATGGCCTTGAAACGACGAATAGTTCAAGCGCGTAAAGTACAATCGTCACAAAGCGGATCGTTTTATTAAAGAAGTGGAGTTTGTACGAACGTATAAACCGCTAATTCAACCGCTATCCCAGATCGTTAAGAAAATCGAACCGCCGTTAAGGTCATATCGATTTTGGCTCACTCAAAGCTTAATGGGTGCCGATCCTGGTTGACTTTCAAGGCCATGCGGTGTTTGTCTGTCGAGTGTAGTTTCAAGTTTGAGAACAAAAATGTTGTATTGTTTTCGGGTGATCAAGGCGACTTAAGAATGGGTGTGGTTTAAACTAATATATAAGTGTTTGTTGTAATGGGTCTTTGCTCTGAATAATTCAATAATAGGCGAGATGTCAAGAGCCATTGTCCATCATCATCATCCACAGCAGCAGCACCGACATCATCTTTGCAATGCAATGGGGAAAAAAGAATTGACGAACTGTTACTGAAAATTAGAAAATTAAAGTGGGATGTTGAAATGCTGGGTTGTCAGCGGCTCAGCGCCGTATGAAAAAACTGATTTTGTAGTGATGCTTGGACGTATTCAAACTTTCATACAGTAGCAGTTAAGGCAAGGATTATTTCTTTGTGTGATGAGACAATGGCATAAATAAGACGATGATGGTTATTCTTGTGTATCAATTAAGACAATTTGTACTTATGTAAAGTTTGAGTATTAAAAAAGAATGTATAAAGGGTGCTTATTCATTTTGCCCTGACATTCTTCCTTTAGAACCAATTTGTACGTGGTATGATCAAACACGCTTATTTCTTGTGTAGGAATTGCGAGCGAGAGGGTTAAAAAAGTTTGGGGATTGGTGTTTAATGAACGCTCAATTTTTAAAACGAGTACACTGTACCTACCGTGAATAGACGTTCTGCTTGGTATCGCGCATTTGGTAAAAATAGAAAATTATCAGCTCGCATTATGTCGACTTGCGTATGCACTCATTTCATTGCACAGTGATATTCGCCGATTCGCGATGTGTTGTGGAAAATAATTTTGGTGTTTCTTTGTGATAATGATTAATTCGATTAGTATTCTCACTCGAACTCAGGTAGGTACGTAAATATTGCATTTAAAGTTATACCGTGAATGTTTGTGGCAGGTAAACTAAATTAATTAATATCAACAATCGCATTAAATAATCCATGTATTTTCTACGTAAAATTAGCTACATTACATTAATGTTTTACTTATTACTCGTAAGTACCTACCGAAGTACCTACTATTACAAATGTGAAATTAAATTTAAAAAGAAAAATTAGCTATTCTTTAAAAATTGCATGTAATTTATAATAAACTTCATGTCTCGATGCAGGTTTTCATCTTGAAGCCGTGGTGCAGCCAATTCCCGTTCTAAACGCTCCGTCTGGAGTTGGGAATTTCTTTGTCTGGCCTGGAAAATTGTCAGCATCTTCTCCAGACACCCCATTGATAACATCGCCAGCTCTTGGGGTGTGGACGGCTCGTGCCATCTGGGCGATTCATGAGATGGCGGCGGCGGTGGTGGTGGTGGCGCCTCTTCTTGGTCGATGGCTGCTGAAGACGGCGGCGAGACGTGTTCATAAAATTCTCTTAGTAATTGCATATCTTTTTCCCCCCTAGGCAACGGGGCACTGTAACAATAAGAGAAACAATATTAAAAATAGATTATATGTATAATAAAAGTAACTTACTGAAAGTGATTGTTGCCGCCGTTATTTACAGGTAGCTGTAGTGGTAAATTTGGTTGTTGTTGTTGAGCTGGATTATTTCTGTAACGTAACATTAGAATAAGTATTTCCACATAAACGGAGGTACAGTAATGAGTAAACTTACGGAAATTGATGCATGTCCCCCATCGCGGATTGTGGATGTAAAGCTACCATTTCTGACGGCTGCGTTTGAGTATTTGCCTGGGGTAGCGGCGCAGGAATTATAATATGCTCCAATATTTGTACTGATGGATACTGGCTGTCTGTAAAACATATATGTATTAGAAATTTTATTTTTTCGTGAACAATAATTTGTACCTTAACTGTTGTTGGTGTTGTTGTTGCTGGCCATGTCTGGGATCTATCACCGGTGGTCTCATGTGAGATGGAGGAATCGTTGTAATTGGAGGAGCGTAAACATGATTGAAATTTCCCTCATATTCTTTTAGAAAATCTTCCAGTTCATTTGTGGTGGTGGTGGTGGTGGTAGCTATTGTT